CTCTCTCTCTCTCACACACACACACACACACACACGTCCGTTACCCATTCCTCTTTGCACTTTCCTTTCTAGGTCAAGCGCTCTCTCACGCCCCATGTGAGCTATAAATAGATACAGCAGGTCAAAGCCAAGGTCAAAGCAGGTGAGCGCGGTGTCTGGCTGAGTGAGCTTGAGCCTTGGGGTGAGCGAGCGCATGAAGGAAGAGAAAACGAAGGACGAGGAAGAAAAAGCCAGCCTCTTTCTGCGGACTGGAACCGGAAGTCAAAGGATGCTAATTACAACCCAAAGTCTGCTGTTGTTCGGAAACTTTTCATGTCATCATGGAAACTTGGCAAAGTTTGTTGTGAAACTCTTTGCCAACTGTGGACGAGATGTAAACTCTCCTATTTTTTTTAAAAAGGTCATTATAGTATAGTCATTATCCGTTAATCAATGGGTAAAGACACAGAGATTAAAACATTCAAGCATCTCTAGATTCTTGTAATTGTAGATAAAAGCTTTATTACATCTAGATTCTAGTCTAGATCTAGATTAGTAATATATCAGAACTGAGACTTTATAATGAGTGACCATGCACAGTGTTACCAGAGAGTTTTGTGAAGTCATTTCGTTAACAAGAGGGTTGTTCTTTATAAAAAATTCCTGTCTTAGCCTGATTTTTATGCTTGTGTATAATGGAAACTTTGCAAAGTAAAATTCAAATAGGTGCATGCATGTCTGTGATGAATAGCCTACTCAGAATGAAGAATGATAATGAATGATTATTTATTGAATTGTAACAAAAACAATACCACTCACATAGGCTGTTGAGTGTGGCCTGTTGTGTTCACGGTATAAAATCATAAAAAAATAGGCACAAATTTCGTAAAAGCTGAATATTTATGAAAGAATTTGCATCCAATCCCTATTGTATAGTTTAATTTGATTCTCTAGAGAGAAAAACGTTATTGAACAACTGTTTCCAAGGGAAAATTCCCAAGAACAAAAAAATGAACGTGAGAAACAGACACAAAAACTCACTTACATACCTGCACACAAATCAAAAACATGTGTACAGCCACACACACACACACACACACACACACACACACACACACACACACACACACACACACACACACAAACCCACGTATTATACAGGCACAAAGCCAATTTAAAAACATTTTCCCTATTTGTAATCAAATCAAACACTCACACATGTGCATGTGCCCGAACACACTCTTTCACACACATGTGCGCACACACGCACATCACACACACATACACGCATACACACACACACACGAACGCACACACAGACCACTATACACGAATGCAATACCTGCACACACATACACACACATACTCACACACACACTCAAACACACATACCACTATACACCCACACACACGCACTCTCCGCAGTCAAAACGCAGACACGTACACCAAAACCATTCACCCACACACACAT